GAAAAGGCTATCTATGTACAAAATAGGGCCAAAGGGATGATTTTTTAAAACTGGGGGGGGGGGTTAAAAAAAGATGTTTATTAATAAAACAGAACAAAGAAAAATAAATAATAGTGAGAGAAGAAAAGAAATGGTTGAAAAAGGCAATACAGCATTGCATTTATGTAAAAAGCTGTAGAGCTTCAAATCACCCAGTCACACCCACCATTTTGAAATCACTCACCATTTCTATGGATGCCTATGACAAAAAGAAGCATTTGCTGCTTTAAAATATTAAAATAAATCCTCAAAGGTAACAGTGAGAAGACAGCTCTGATTTCACCTCCCAGTACCCCCCACCCTCATATTCCATGTATGAAGATCAGCAGGTTCTAGCAATTCCTTCCCAATCAACTTTCTCATCCTTTTCCATCCTGTGGACCCATCTACTCTTCTGTGAATTTGCAATTCAATCCTTACTCATTTTTCATAGATAGCAAAACCATTTCAATGGGGGGGGGGTTGGGTGGATTAGATAGGTCAGTCACTTTTATATTCCTTCTGCATTCATTCAGCCCCCATTCCTTCTTGACTTCTGTCTTCTTAGAAACACATATTTTTTAAATAACTCATTTACATAGCATTAAACTGTTACATTTTTCCTGGCATACCCAATTCTTGCCACTGTGTGACAAAATGAGTAGAACACTCCTATAGATAGGCATTTTCACATCTTTCAATGAAGATTTATTCCCCATAGCAGACCACGCCCCATAACAGTTCCCTACTAGTTTCTCATAATTGAGATATAATCTACAGTTCTTCATTCCATTTGATTACAACAAGTTAATTTTCAGATGCATACTCCTCAGTGCGTCATATAATCTAATATTTGTTGCCGATCATTCATATTCTTGGGCAAAATTTAGTGCTTTACTACACAAAAGGACTTGTACATCATGCTCCCAAACCATACATCTTACACCTCTACCATCACCATAAATGCTCTTTACCCATTTATTTGTAAATATATTAACCAATGAAGGAACCATTACCTATCCTTGACTTATTCCCTACTTGATATTAAAACATTTTGTTAAACATTTCATTTGGTTCCATAGATGGTACATTATCAGTGTGGTTGCGCAGCAGTTCCCTCGACACCTGGAGGAAACAGT